AGCAATTGGTCCCTTCTGGGTAACTTCCCCAATACTGGGCATGACGTGCTGTGGTATGGAATACCCCTTTGGCTACTTTGGGTCAGGTGTCCTGTCTCTGCTCCCTGTAAGCTTCTTGTGCCCCTCCTCACTGACAGAGCATGAGACTGAAAAGTCTTTGATCAGGGTAAGCGCTGCTCAGCAACAGCTAAAACACCAGTGTGTTATCAGCATTGTTCTAAGACTAAAGGTGAAACACAGCACTGCACCAACTACTAGGAAGGCTTAAAAATAACTGTTACAGCTGAAACCAGGACAAAAAGAGAGGATGGGTTAAAAGTAAAACTGCATAGGTACAGCTCTTTTGGAAAGAGGGAACCTGTTAATGCAGTACTTGAAAGAAAATTTTTAATAACAGAGTAGTATTTTATATTTTTATTAGCAGCTTTTGCCTAGAAGGTTTGCAATTTTCAATCCCTTGCTGCATCTCTTTGTGAATACACTGAATCTTGTCCCTAGTTATTCAGAAGGGTTATTCTGATTTTTTTTGTGTGTGTGTGTGTAGACACATTGTACAAATCATGAGAAATGAAGTATTTTACAATCCCTTCATCACACTCACAGAGTGTTAGTAATATGTGGTGTAGTTTATACATTTTTATGAGGGAACAGTTTTTCCTGAGGTGGGACTGCAGCTAGATCCATTGTAAAGCATCATTTTAGCTTCTGCAGAACCTGAAAATCGACAGAATTACTCTGAAATCAAAGGAAAAAAAATCTGCAATATTTAAATAAAAATACAAATGGATTTCAGTTGCATGTCATTAATTAACTAATCAGTGATTTTTGCAAGCATCACTTTCTTCCACGTGGGAATCCTCCACTCCATGAGACCAGACAAGAGTTTTTCTGCCTTTGTCCCAAAAGACTCAACTTGTGATTTATTTTTATTTTCTTTTTCCCCCGATTTTTCCCTTGCTGGCACATTTGAGCTATTGACCTCATGTCTGAAGAATAATTTTCTGCCTCTTTGATGGAAAACGAGAATGAGTTTTGAAGGCTATATGTAAATTACTTGTTTTCTCCACAAAGTGGCAAGGACCTGATACCAAAATCAAAGATGTTTCCACTCTCATTTGCAGCTCCATTCTGCCAGTGGCTTTGCCCTTTCACAGCTGTGCAAGAAGAGCTCTAAATATCTAGAAGTGGGTTTTAGTTTTCCTAGAAAATCTGTCAGCTTCTACTACCTACCCCACGAGTTACCATATAGGAAGATGATATTCAAATGCCGGTTTCATGTGAGTCATGCTGGCATGCTCTAAAACTGGTGCTTCTTCCTTGTCTCACCTCCTTTGCAGCCTGCAAGGGCTTCTTTGGATCATTTATGCAAGTCAGAAATGATACATTTCAGCTCAGAGAGACTGGAGTGTTCCGAAACCTTACATTACCTACTACTTAAATAGGTGCAGGCAGAACTCTTGCTTCTTTCCCTGAGTATTTGGCACAGGCTTCACAAACTGTGTATCACTGCTTAGTTGCAGAACTGATACACAGAAAAGTGCAACCCGACTCTTCAAAAGGCAGTACTTTCAATTCTCCAAAGTCCCATAGTTTTCTTGAAATATTTCCTTACTCATTAGGACTGTTTATAGAAAACTTCGGAATAACCATCCTGTCACAGCACTGCTTTTCTGCTCTCTAAGAGGGAAGGAAGGAAATGGATAATGATCAATATCAAGCAGAGAAAGTCAGTCATACAGAGCATTATGCACAGTCACCGCTGGAGGAATGAACATCTTTCAAATACCTGAGATTACTCAGATGCTATTCCCTTGCAGAGCAAAATGAGCATGGTTGTAAATCTTATTTCTCCATAAGACTAACGAAGATAGTCCTGCTCTGAGAACTGTTCAAAATGAAAAAAAAAAAAAAAAAAAAAGAAGTATTTCAGCCAAGAATAAGTGGAAGAGTGATGTCTAGGATTAAATTAAAAAAAAAAGGACCAATACAAAGTTAATTTGCATAAGAATTTTCAAGTTGTTAATTTATTTCATCTCTTGTAGTTTACTCCTTCCACCTTAGTGAACACCAGATTAATCTTAGGAAATACACTACAGCTTTGTATGGAAAAAAGGCTTCAAAGGACTTTATATCTTCTATAAAATGGACTTTGAGCTTTCCTCTACTGCATTATTAGCATACATAGTTGGTTCCTTCTCATATCTTACCGTCTTGACTTCCACATCTGCAGTAAGAATTTCACCGAGCTCTGAAGTGGAGATTCTGAGTGAAGCTACAAAATCTGCAATTCATGATGATGTAATTGTATGGTTTGACCTGTAGAATTATACTGGCAAGACCTCTAAAACCAGAAGTGAAACGAAGAGTGTCTTCAGTTTATGAAGATGGATATGATCTAAAGGAAATGATGGATTGTGTCTATCAACATGTATCTACAAACTCAGCAGCAAGAGAAGATCTGAGAATTTTAATGGAGCTGCATATTTTAAGAGGTCCAAACCTGCTTTGCCTCTTCAGGTTCAAGAATGCCAGAAAATATTACTGACTCCAACCAGCGCTTCAGCTTATTCCTCCATCTTTAATTTAAGCCCTGTGGCTCAGGAACATGTCTCTTCCAGAAGAAGAACAGAAGACTACCTCTGCTTATGGTGGTGTTAATTCAGGCAAATCCACAGAATACTTTTTCTCCTGGAATTCTGAGGTCTCTCTGTCCTGCCTCTTTGCCATCTCCCCAGAGTTACCTTGGAAAACAAAACATAGTAAATTTATACTCTTCAAGGCACTGCTCTAATTCCAATTGTCAATAATTATTGTTCAATATATTCAGGATACAAAAAAGGAACAGGAGTCTTTCTCCTAGAATGCAACTTGGCAAATTTGAAGCTGTTTATTTGCAAAGCAAATTTCTTTTGGACGGTTATTAAAGAAATTACCAGAGTCCTTTTCCTCTCTGTTGACTATAAAGCAAATCACTGGTACTTACACTCCTGAAATTTGAAGGTAACAACCTCTTCAGAGCCTTTTGGTTTTTCCTTCATTACTTGAGATTTTAGAATACCAGTGTCTAAATGTAATTATCTACTCCAGTCATGCTTACCTTGTCTTGGTTCACCTATTAGTCAAAAGATAATGAGGAGATGAAGGTATGAAGACAACTGGCCAGGTTCTTTAAGGAAGACAAATTAAATTGAATAGCAAAGCACATTCTTCATCACATTTCAAGATACATCTTTTCTGTGTGCTCTGAAGTTCAAAAACATCATGAAGATGATCCCCAGTAGAGAGGAATTATAGGATATTGTAACTCACCTGGATTGTCCATAATACTCAAGGAAGATGACATTTCTAATCCATTCAGGAATGATGCTAATATTATACATCACTTTGTCATGAGCTTGTGGCAAATGCCAGTGAAAACACCAGTAATGATTTTCTGGAATTAGCACCAAATTGTTATGCTATCTTCTTTCAAGAATCCTACAGGAGTTTGTGACCATTACATGTAAAAAATGCAAGAGAATAACAGGGAAATTTTATCATCTACACGCAAGTACAAGCATGGATTGTTGATCTGCAATCTGTTTTGTGTTCAATTTATCTATGTATGAAATTGACAGTACTAGCTGCTTTTTTCCCTTCTTAATCTCCGAGGACCAAGACGACTACAATTGTTAGTTGGGGATCAACAACCGTGATCTTGACTACTTCTCAGTGATCCAGACTTTTTTGCATTTTTCCCTAGGCAATGAGAAATCCTTCTAATTGTTCATCTATGACAACTTTTACATGGAAAGCGCTTGCATCTTCCTTTTCCCAATTCTATTAAGACTTGAGAGAGGGTGACAGGGTTTTTCTGACATCCTCCAGATCTGCCAGATTTCTTCAGTTTCCCATCTGTATTAGAGTGCTGGCGTGATGGGTACTCATACTGGAGAAAGTTAAAATTAAATTCACTTAATTTTATATTCTCTGAATAGGTACCCACTACTCTGTCTGCACCCATGACTTTGGCTAAAATTTCTTCATGCCTGAGAAAGCCTTTTCTTCACATGGAGATTCTAAATGGATGCAAAGAGAGAGGAAAATGATCAAAGGTTTCCAAGTTGATAACTGATTCATTGGTTTTAAACATTTTTTTTTTCCTGCCTGGATATTGCTCTGCTGTTTTCTAACTTGTTTTTTAGTTGTCTTATATTCCCTCAGCTGTGGCAGTATTCCTGGAGCCAAATGTGAGTGCACTACCTCAAAATGCCAGCAGTGGAAGCTGGTAAGCAAGTGGGGGAAAAATCACCAGAGGAATCACTGAAGCTTGGGACAAAGGCAGAAAACACATCAGTACTGCACTAACAGAGCAGCAGGTACCCTCATAGAGAAGATAAAATTACAGGTAAGGAAATAATTTCCATTTCTATTTTGGTCTCTTCCAAATGGCTTGTTACTCTCCACTCAAAATCCCAGAAAAAATAACATACCATAAACATATGAAGAAAAAAAAGAAAGCAGATGTGATGAATTTAGAGTACTTGATTTTTTTTTAGTGAGGACAATTTGAAGTTCAATCTTACAAATGTCTTGGGAAAATGAATTAAAAATGGAAATCCATTGTATCTATTTGGGAATTTAAAACCTCAGCCTAGTTTTAAAATAACGCTTGAGAATTATTTTTTTTTTTTGTTGTTTTTGTAGCTTTTACATTTTTAGAACATTGAACACAGATATCTGCTTGCTACAGGTTTTGTTTTCCAGTCAAGAACAACAGTAGGCTTTTCTTTATATAAGTGAGGTCAGATAAAGCCAAAGACAGAAGGACTCTATTCCTATCCCTCCTTCTCCATTTACTTTCTCACAGTTGGAAGGGTAGCATGACTCTTTATTATGCTTCAGTTTCCTCATCTGTAACAAGGAAGGAGGTTGTTTTTACTTCCCGTTTGAGATGACTAGATGGAATCAGTGGTGTAAAAGAGAAGAAAATTACATTTATTTAATTAATTGTCTTGCAGTCTTTTATGCCGCCATGCTGCAGTCCCACTATGGAGTTGTGATCACCACAAAAACCTCAAGAGGATATATCCTTGTCTGAATTGCTACAGTTATTATCTGTTACAGAAAGTAAAATAAGGTTTATCTTTAAGTCTTCTTTTAATATAAAACTGTTGTCTGCAGATGAAAAATTTTGTTACGTTAAAACAATTCTACCATAAACTTAATTTCCACTCTCTGGTATAGCAATATTGAGAAAGTTTAGGTAGGTGCATTGTAGTGGCATTACCTTTTAGAAAAGAATAATAATGAAGTACATTCAAAAGGCTGATGAATTAGATTCAGCTTTGACATAACTCATATTTCATTATCAGATATACACTATGGTTATTGTCCCAGTGAGTTCTATCAATTGAGTTTATTTTGTAAACTATCAAGTTCAAAGAACTATGAATACAGAACCATATTAACTTGCTTCATAGTATTTAAATGTGTAGAGATTTTATTAAAGCTACAAGTTATCAAAATTATGAGTTTAATCTTGTGATGTATATTTCTAATGATCTGCAGCATGACATTTAAGTTGAAAAGCCTAAAGGAAAAACAAAAGGAAAATGGTAATCTTTTTGTAAGCATTATTTAAATAAATTAGGTGATCTCTTGAGGTGCTGTGCAACCCTTTTTGAAAGCAATCATTACCATCAGGTCCAAAAAATACCTCAAATGTCTAGATAAGGAACTAGCTGTCTGAATTGAATATTGTCTTTTGAAATGTGTCATCTGTTGGTTTATGTTTTTTCCTGTAACCTATGAACCATAGAAATGACTGTAAGTAGAGTTTTCAAAATGCTTTTTTCCAACTTCAAACTTTCTTGTGTTTTTGTTTTGTTTGTTTATTTTTTAGTATTTTTGTTTTGTTTTTACTTAAGAAATACATGGGAAGAACACACTCAAACCTTTCATTTGCAAGGAATCATATTCTGAGTTCATGGCTCTTTTCTATACTACAGGTCTATCCATGGACTTATTTTCAAAGACCTTTTTAATTACTGTTTTATCACAGTTGAAGATTACTGCCATACTTGCAAAAATGAGTGTTACCTATCAGTTTCTATTGTGTTTTGGTGAAAAATCAATGAGTTTGATTTTGATTACTTTTAAACCTTTTCCTTTGGGGTTACTGTTATTGCTTGCGGGTGTTTTTGAGGCCGTGCTCTTTTGCTAAGAGAAGTTGCTCTGATTCTGAAATGTTTTTTTCCCCTCATCTTGTACTTTCCCTTGTAAGTTAAAGAAAATTCCATCTATTCCAGTTTTGTCTTCTGTAACTAATTCCATAACACTGTAGTACTTGACATGTGTTTGTTTCTTAGGCAAACGTGTAAAACTGCTCAAGTCCGAATGGAGAAGTAGAGAAAGGAGGTTTCTGCTGTGCCTGATGACAATTTTTGTTTTTTTCCACACACACAAAATATTTTGGCTCCACGTTGGAGCACTAGTTGTGATGAATCCTAGTCTTGGTTGGATTCTAAGGAAGGGCCAGAACGTTCGTTGAGGAATAAAGAGTCAGACCACTCCAGAAAATGTGTTCCAGCCCTGGTTTATTACTCACAGAGCAGCAGGTGTGTACAAATACAGGTTTACACAGTACTAATAGGAATTGTTGTACCTTACTTCTCATTGTAGTTCTTTAGTTTGCTGCAGATGCTCAGGAATTGTGATTTATTTGGGCAGAGCTTCAGGAGGGTGGTTGGAGAGACTGCACTGCTCTCCTAAGCAGCCTCAGTTTGTCAGGTAGATGTTTCTGGGAGCCTTAAAATGTCTTTCCTCACTTCCCCTTCAAAGGTAGATCCAGTTGATGAACTTAAGTCTCCCACTGTCATGGGAAAGCAGCAGATGCTTTGGGGAAGAGAACAGCACTTAGAAAGGAAGTATGTCTTGGTAAATGGAGTTAGGTGTCGTTTGGTAGTTGAAAGCTCAGCATCCCATATGGGGTTACTGAAAACTCATAAGAAGCTGAAAAGGGGGTATTTCCTCTATATTCCTAAGATTGGTAGGTGTTGACTGATCTCAAAACCATGTTTCAGATAACTGCCATTTTCAGGAACATATACCATGTTCCAAAGTATATTTTCTTTACCTATTTTTCCAGTCCTAATCTTATTTGGAACAAGCAGAAAACTCAATTTACAAGTGAAAGGTTTCCAAAGCCTTTAAATTTTAATTAAAATTTTCAACACTGATTATCAAGGTCTTCACTTTGTAAATCTCCTGCTGATATCATTAAGAGCAATGAGGAAACAAGAAATACAGGATTATACTTCAAATGGCATTGTGTGAAATGAGTTTTCAACATGTTTGTTTCTTTTTAAGGGAAAATAGCACGAGAATTTTCACAAATGCAATTCTGATTAGTCACAGTGTAATAAAAGTAGGAAAGAATTAAAAACTTAACTCTGGTGGTTATCAGACATTTGGAAACATTGGAGACCTTTAGGTGTGCTGGGGAATGTTCTCTTTAATTAATAAAAGGAGGTAGAGATGTTTACCAAAGGATAGACTTGAGGATCTAGAATTGTAAATTGCTCCATTACAGGCTTGGGAACATGGTTAAACTAACGCTTTTTATACTGCAGTGCCGAAAATAAAGTTAAGGCAAAAATGTCAAGCTCTTGAGTCTTGACATCAAAAGCTAGGTAGTGAAAAAGTTTTATGAGTAGGAATGAAACATTTGAAGACTTGAAAAAAAAATCTATCAATATGTAACCTCTGAAGGTAAATAGGTCCATACAGTTATCACTGAATGCCTGTTTTCCAAACTGCTGACAAATCACTCAAATTTTGCCTTTTGTCATTAGCCTAAGTCAAACAGTGGTCTGTGATACTGAAACAAGGGACTGTTTCCTAACTCGCAGTTCTCTGCTGCAGTTACTTTATCAAGCATACCCTTGAATCACCTTAACATTTTTCCTACTTTTGAAAAGGTTTCTTGTGCCCCCAGAAACTTAGTTATCTAGCATGTTTATGGTATTTTATGATTCTAACTAAATATCACATTCACCCAAATCCAAACCTATCTACCATGAGACGTGTATGCATATTGGAGCCCTCTTGGAAAAAAGGCTCATTAACAGGTCTTTTGTTCAGTTTCCCCACTTCTTTAGAAAACAAATTACAGAATTCTCAAGCTTTGAGGAAATTCTGAGCCTGTCCTCTGTCAATGTTTGCAAAGTACTTTTGATTATCACTGGTACAAGGTAGTATTAATAGATGAGAAGCATCTTCCAAGCTTGCAAGTTGAACTGTTTTAGTGAATAAACATGCACAAGTGGCAATGCAAACTGCTATTCGCTTTCATAAGCCACATATGAATGATAGTGCACAGCAAAACATGTTGTCTGGATTCTGAAGTTCCAGGAAATAGCACGCTTCCATCTGTTCAAAAGTTTCATTTCTAACCTAAACTTCAGTTGCAGAAGGCATAAGTGGAAAAAATGCATTGGCAGATGTTTGTTTCTGGTTGTATGGGGCCTTCTGTTTTCTGCATTGTAATATTCATGTTAGTTATTCAATGCCAAAACAAAGTTACTTATAGGATGAAAAATACAACTGATACAGCCTTCTTCAGGTCTATTCCTCATTAGGAAACCATTCCTCATTAGGAAAGGTTTGCTAAAAAAAAAACCCAAACAAACCATAAATTGCTGACCATGTTTTATTAATTTTTTTTTTTGTAGTCTCTTTCTGTTCAGTATAAGAAAGAATATAAAAATAAGGAAATGAAATGGATGGAAATGTATACCAAATACAACTAAAGGCTGTCTTGGTACAAGATCTCTTTCTCATCTTAGTGTCTTGAAGGACAATCCATACCTAGGCATTTCTTCAAGCCATTTCTTATGCCTCTTTCTTCAAGCATTTATTTAAAGCATTCTTGTGACATTCTCTGTATTTAGCTTTCCTCATGATGGTATTAAATACATTTGTGAGATCCTTGTGATTTTTTTCTAGAAATCCCCACACCGTTTTGTTTCCCACAGACCTTCCATATTTTACAGAAGAATGGCAGGGGTGACAAGAGAGCTTTTCTTTGTCTCATGAAATTCCACTTAGGTCAGGGTTTGCTAAAGAAAAAAAAAGACAGCTTGATGATTCTTGAGTATGCTTAGATGACACGCAAGTTATGACCACACACAGAGTCCTGTACAGTTGATGGAACAGTTCTAATTGAAAAGAAACCCCCCAGTATTAAGGTCTTTCTCTTTCTTTGGGGAAAACCTAGAACGAAGGGTCCATCATACTGCTGAATTATCTGTGGAAGGAAGAGACACTGTCTTAAAAATTTGCCCTTTTTTTACTTGCATTAATACACAGTCCTGGCAACAATATAATAGGCTTCCTTCCAACAGTCCTTCCCCACCAAGTTCTGTTGTTTGCACAATGGAAAAGGCACAGATTTGAAGTTGCAAGCGCACCTGAAGAAAGGCAAGTTGCTAACTTTCAAATGCTTGACCTGGCAAACTCAACAGTCTGTTTTTAATATGGATTTTGTGTATGGTTTATGATAAACAGAGAAAAAAATTGAAAGAGCTGCCATTGAAAGAAATTGTGATGTACAAAATTACCTTATGAAATGTTCCAGTACATGTTTATTTTAATATACCATATATTGCCACCTATTTTATTCTTACAATATTAAATACTAATTGTTTATGTATGTGCCTCATTTGCATGAATAAACTATTCTGTAGTTAGCCAATAATTAGTGATAGATTTTTTTTTCTGAAGAAACAGATGATTTGTACTATACCTGATTGGGATCCTGTAATTTTCACATGTAGGTACCTGAAAGTAGGGAAAAGTACTTTACTGTTCAGGGAATATTCACTCAGACAATCTTTACATTCTACAGTCTTGATTTTTCTCCCTTCTTCTAAGGCAGAAGGAAATCTTGAGTAAAAGTATCAGGCTGGATTTTTCTTGGGAATCCATTCTTTTTGCCCTGGCAAAAGCGTTCTACCCAAAGACTGAACCTGTTTCAAATATTTAGTGGGCAGAAGGAATGTGGAAAACTTCAGTTGCATTTAATTATATATTGTTTTAAAATAAAACAAGTGAGTTCACATACAATTACAGACAATTTACAGCAGCCACTCACTAATTTAAATTAAAAAGTCTGCAGCTGTGGAGCAATTATACTTTTATTGCACATGTAGTACAAGAAAGTGAAGAAAGTCTAATGCATTGTATTTATGATATAACAACCATGTGAAAAAACACACTAGCATAAAGGGAGTAATTATGTTCCAAGAATGAACAAATTAATTCAAATCAACACCTAGGATGCTAAAGGTTTTATGTCCTTTTTTTTCATTTGTATTGTTAAACAGCAGCAAAGTTAATTTTCCATACATTTTAATTATTAACTGAAAAATTTATTAGACTTGATTTGCACATATTTAGCATGTTACTGTTCTCTTAGGATTTTAAAGATCAGACACATACATCAGTCCCCCTTTTCCTATAAAAACCTTTGTCACAATACTTTGCTTCCCAGCCACTCAAACCAAACAGCTTTTGCTATATCCAAAATTAAGCATTTCTGGGAATACAAACTACGTATTATCTAAAATTTCATGGCTTCTTTATGAAACTGCCTTTAGCATTTGAGAGATCCATTCTTTCCCTAATATGTATGTATATGACTTCCATTTATGTCAATGTCTGGTCTGTGCTAGCACATAACATAAGAAGTATTACCTTCTTAGAGGCAAATGTGGATCACTGTGTGTGTTACTCAAAGGAGCATTTTGTGACCTGGAAGTTAACGGGGAAAAAGAAAAAGAAATGAAAAGGAAAAGTAAAAGTAAAAAGAGGGCAAGCAGAATAATGAAAATTCTGGCAAGTAGTTAAAAAAAATTCTGGCAAGTAGTTAAACCCTCCAATCATGCAACTGTAAAAACTAGAAATATGCAGCTTGACTTCCTGTGCAGTCTGTATAAACAACATGACCTTTGTATATGATTAGCCACCTGTTACAGAGCAGAGATTTGAATGGATATCTGATTTGTTTTCTCCTTTATATCACCAATTTATTCCATGTAACAGTGTATGTTGCTTTTATAGGGATATTTTTACCACACAGTTGTAGAGCTGGGGCGGGAAGTGGAGTAGATAGGCCTACAGATTATGATTTTACTGAGTCTTTTTGTGACTGAAGAGAGCACATTTGCACTTCCAAACAGCCATATAACTGAGCAGCCGTGTGTGAAAATACTGCTTCTTGCTAGCCACAGTTTATCACCTTAGCCTATGCAATGGCAGAGCCGGATGTAACAGAAATAATAAATCACAGAATGGTTGAGATTGGAAGGGACTTCTGAAAGTCCACTCCCCTGCTCAAGCAGAGCTGCCTAGACCCAGTTGCCCAGAGCTGTGTCCAGATGGCTTTTGAATATCTCCAAGAAAGGAAGCTCTACGACCTTCCTTGGCAACCTGTTAGAGGGAAATGTCACCCTCAAGGTAAAAAAATGTTTCCTGACAGGGAAACCCCTGTCTTTCAATTTGTGCTCATTGCCTATTGTCCTGTCACTGAGTATCAATTGAAAAGACCCTGGCTTCATCTTCCTTGCACCTCCCTTCAGGTATTTGTGCACACTTCTGAGATCCCCCTCTGAGCCTCCTCTTCTACAGGCTGAACATTTCCAGCTGTGTCAGCCATTCCTCATATGAAGATGCTCCAGCCCCTTTATTTTCTTTAATGGACCTTTACTGGACTCTCTCCAGTAGCTCTATGTTTCCCTTGTACTGGGGAGCCCAAACTGGACACACTACTGCAGGTGTGGCATTACCAATACTGAGCAAAGTTGAAGGGCCACCTCCCTTGACATGGTGACAATACACTGTATAATGCAGCCTGCAATACCATTAGCCTTCTTTGTTGAGAGGCAGATTGCTGGTTCATGGTCAACCTGAAGTCAGCTGGCACCGTCTCTTTTTAATAGCAAATATCTACTCTGTGGCTATGTAGACAAAATCGAGAATCCAGCTGAATTCCAATGACTGTGCCTGTCCAGTTGTGCCTCTGAGGAAACTGTCCTCTGATTCTGCCTTGGTTTTGGTCTTCTCTGGAAGAGTATAAGAAGCTTTGACCCTGCATTTACACAGCTTCTTTGGGAGTCTCACACCTTTGATCTGTCTTTGCATCAGTTGATTTACCACAGGTTTTTTATGGATATATCTATATAGAGAGAGACAAGTATCTCTCAAGTGAAGTTAATAAAAATCCACCTGCGGATAGGACCAGAAGATGCATAGTTTACATGTAGCTCAGTGACACTTGAGTCCATGAGTAGAATTCCAGCTTGTTACAGGAAAACAAAATATAAATAACAACAAGATGCTGTGTCAGCTCTTTGAGCTTTGGTGCAGGGCATAGAAATATGTTGCCTGATTTTTTAATTAATTCTTCATTATTTTTTCAAACAATCTTTCACTATAGAAGTGGCTACATGAGGCTGTTTCCAAGAACAAGAGCAAAACGAATTAAGAGCAGTGTAATAAATAAAACCAGGTTTCATAAAACTCACAAAACACAATTTTATTATTGCCTTCTTAAGTACAGCTCCTAGAATCAACTTGGTGAAGGCAAGCCAAAGTTATGAGCTCCTTGAACAGTCCTTTTAATATTCTGCTCTATGTTTGTGCTCTGCAGAGCCAACAAGAGCTGTATGCAAACAGTTTTGCTGAAGGCAAAAGAATGTTTCAGCGTTAAGGAGCATGACCCTTCTCTCTGTGAAGAAAATTAAAAGCATATGCCCCTTGATGTCATGAAGTGTTATTGTGACCTTTCCAGTGGGTTGCGCCTCAGCATTTGGGATGTTGTCCCCTGACACAGTTTGATACTAAAATGTTACGTGATCATTAATTGTATGCAGTGACACAGCAGAAATAGTCCTCAGTTATGCTATTTTTTTTTAAATGATAGATTTTTTTCTTTTAATATTTAAAATCCAAAGTATACACAAAGAAAGTTTAATTACTGTGAAATGCTTTGTTGAACATTCTTTCTCTGTGGTCCTTCTGTTCCGCACTTGTTTCACGATAGGTTGGGTGAAACCACTCTAAGTGAACTCCTTGGTAGTTATTTTATACCTTGTGAATAACAGGATCTCTCTCTCTTGTTTAGCTATGTATGATTTCTGTCCTGTTTCTTCACTAAGTGCTTATTGCTTGCTTAACAGGACGTTGTCTTTCCCAACCTAACCAATTCTATGATTCTACGACTGTGTTTTAAAGTAGCATACAAAGAATGGAAGAACCCATCTCCAGTATCAGTCACTGTTATACACAATGGCTAACATTTTAAAGGCATAGTTGTTCCCATAGAGAAGGTCTAACATTGAAAAATATTAACAGAATACCATTTTCTCCTTAAAACCAATGCTTTTGAGATTTGTGGGTTGGTAATTTGTGACCTTCAGTTTTTTTTATCTTATTTTAAACAATGTCACATTTCAGTTTTATCTTGTCAAGTCCAACTCCAGCAAAGCACTTAAAGACAGAATTTATGTTGGGGAGCAATCCCATATAATACCATTTGGAATCCTTCATTTGTTTAAAAACAATAGAAAGAGCTTTGCTGGACACAGATCTTGTATTTCAGTCTCAGTTTCCAGTACTTCGGAATTAGATTCTGTATGTACAGTTTTGATTTTCTGATTTTCTTTTTCTTTACAGGTAACCCGATAGCTAAAGACAAATCAAGTCAGTCTCAAGGCTGATAACATTAAATACAACACACAGGGATTTCATTCCTCCAGGCAATCCTTGAAGTGAAATTTTATACTGCTGGGGTGTATCCTTCAGAATCAATTGTTTCAATGAGAACCTGCCCTGTAATCAGCAACAGCCTTGAGATCAAAACTACTGGGAAGTTGTTCTGAACTTCTGTGTCACAAAGATTTCAACTGATTGAACTGTGTACACTGGTAAAATTGCACTTGCTGAGGAATTTGCAGCTGTAATCACAAGAGTTGATACTTAAAATGTGCAGAAAAACATCAATTTTTGGATTCTCCATTCCAGACCAGTGGCTTTTCATCTTGATGAAGTCAACCTCCAAAATGTATTGGTTCCTTCTCTCTAAAATGATCCCTGGTCCGCATTCAGATCGCTGATGGGACTGCACACTGCTTTAATTAAATTTCTGTTGCAGAAATTGTCCTCTGGCATGGCACAGTTTTAGACATTTTTATTTGTATTCTAATCTTGGAGCTCTCAAAGTTACATGTTTCAACATCTTGAAGTTGCTTTTGTTATAGGAATGGAAATATATATCCATTGTTAATAATTATTGTTGACAAGTAATAGTTATCTGAATACATCAGTCATATTAGAATGTATAGTCAGGCTGACATGTTCCCCTAAGGCTAATCAACTACTGCAGCTCTTTGGCGGTTAAAAAAGTGGTGGTCAAAACTCAATTACCACTTCCATTATAAGGCATTTTATAACTTTAAAATATACATTTCCATTTAGTTTGAAGGAGATGAGTGTTCCTGATATGTACTTTACTTTCCCAAACTTTAGTTCATTGAAATTCACGGTAAGCGTTCAATGGCAGTATTTCATCCCTTTTTATAAAGGTAGGCAGGGATGTAAATGGGTTTTGCAATTATGAAATTGGATGGTAATCATTCAGAATTTTGGGGGTATTTTTTATTAAAAAATAAAATCTCTTGCTTGAACCTAAATACTGTTGGATGCTTATGTAGATGTCTGCTCAGTCTGTTTGCTATAGAGGAAAAAAGTCCTAGTGCCCTCTCAGATTTACAGTTTGTGGGTATTTTGCTTGCTTACAGTCATCCAATTCAGATCTGATCCTTGCCAAAATCACATTTACTGTTTTTATTTTTGTTTCAGGAGCAATTTTTGAACTTAGTGATGTGCTGTTACATGAAAAAGAAAAAAAAATCCTCAATATTTAAAGGCCTTAAGCATCTATAAGCTTTTTTCTAGGTTATTACAGAATGTATAATTTTATACTCCATTTAATGTATATTGTACCATCTGTAATATTGATACAACAGAAATTTGGCAATTCCATCTAGTGACACTGCATAAGCATGCTGACTGGAGAGGGTGAGGGCGTTCTGACTGTATACTTTGGTGCATTGAAATGAAAACCACACACACTTAATGGCAGTCAAAAATATACAGGGTGAGATTATTTAGAAGTCCTGTGTGTTACCAGACTCTCAGAAAAAGAGGGAAATGATTTTCTCATCACAAGCCATTGACATGGCTAAGTAGTTATATATTAAGTTCCATGATGGATGAACACCCTGGAGTGCTCTGCCTATCACAGTAGCTCCTGCTGTTCCAAAACCATTTCATTACCTCTGCTGTATTATTGCACAGGAGAGCTTAAATAAAATAAATGACTGCTGGGAATAAAGTTGAGAAGTATATTCTATCATTCTGCTGAGAAATAATAAAAAAATTGGCAGGGAAAGATATTTTTCTGATTAAAATTTAATTATGATAAACTAGCAGCAACTAGTTATCTCTGTATTTTAGGATGGATTAATACTGTATGGATTTGTGCTAACAGGTGCAGGACAGAAGGCAGTGTTTTAAAGAGATTGTCTGGGACAGTGCAAAGTGTAAATGTGCTGTTTTGTAAAATCTGAATATAGCCTCTCTTTGGTCAAAAACTCCATCATGCTTCTCAATATTTGTTTTCTTTGTTTGTTCTTAAGCCAACAATGAAAATACTGTATAATATACAAGTGTAACACATGCATATCAATAAGTGAAAATAAATGGATTTTCAAATATACTAAACAGATTATCTGAAGTAGATTAGTGTTGTGAATATTCATAGAAAGTGAATAAAATTGTAATATAAAATAGAATTTTTTCTATGGATGTGCACTTTGGAGATCTATTCTGTTTACCTATGGAAAAAATATTCTTTTTCAGTGCATAAGAATCTGAAGGGTTATCTTAATTTTGCATTTCTTCAGTAAAGCTGGGAATATATCCTACCACTTTGAAAGGTCTTTTTCCAAAGGAAACGGATATCTAGCACAACTGTTCTAGCATTGTCACAAGAAATTCTGGTGGGCTTACTGCTGCTTTCAGGCCAGACTGAATAGAGGTGGATATTTTTATTTTTATTCCACAAAATGGAGATCCCAAGAAATTCTCATTTAGATTATTTCTGTAGCAATAGAATATGGTAAGCATTCCTGAAAAAGTTACATTTTAGGTTAATTTGTTGAACTGTTTAAAAGCAGAAAAAAACCCAGCAAGCTATATCAACAGTGAATTCTGCTTGCACATCTTGAAGCAAGCTGTGAACTATAGTTCTGCTGTCCATAGTGTCTGTTTTAGTGCTGCCTTTGCAAATGGAGTGTAGGTGGCTAGATCAGCTGTGGGCATTCATGCTGTAGGCATGTGAGATGAATACTGCCTCGATTACTCCTTTATTCCTTACTATAATAGTACTATACTACTTCCCAGATTATTTGATATTCCCAGTTTATCTGATTACAAAGATGATCAGGCGTTATGATCAGAGTGAAAACCATCTTAACCTTTGATTTCAGCAGTCATCAAGAACTCTGAACTGCAGGAGAACAGAGGTTCCTATTCTGCAGTTCCATGTAGCAACGCATTGACATGGAAAGAAAACTCATGGCTTTATTCAAAACTTTCAAATGTATTGGACCAGTCGACAAAACATAAAGGAAATCCTGATATAAATCTTAGGGAAAAAATTCCAAAACAGAACTAATAAATCTAAAAGTTAGCTTAAAAAAACATTTAAGACTGTATCATGGTTGTATCTGGCTTATTGATCATAACTAAGTGCTCACCCTTGAAAGAGCACTGCTGTAGATACCACTGTTACTAACTTTAAATCCACCTATTATTCTATATCCTTTCAATCTTTCTAGTTATCCTACATCTTTTAATTCATGGCCCCTTCAGCTCTTCTCATTCCTTCACCAAGCCAATGCAGCTGATATATGCTTTAAAACGGGAGACAGAGTGCATCAGATAAATTTGTTTTGAAACTAAAAATCTACTACGAAACATGTTATTTTGTTAGGTTTCATAAAAATACATGCTGGTGTTTTTTGCTCATTATAATTGTGTAGCTAGCTTTCCTAGTTTCCAGGTAATGAATGGATGTCTATAACAACAAAACAGGAAGATGTGATTGGCATCCTTTTCTGCTGATTTACTGCCTCCTCCTTCGTGACTTGAATGCACACATCTGTTAACCAAGATACTGGCAAGGAAAAGGAGTGCAATTTTGGCTTGTAAGAGAAGTGTTGCCTTATTTTCTAGTTTCTTTTTACCAATAGTTGGCTCTATACCAAATATGTCACACCTAAAAAGTCTGATGGCATTAAATGATTTCTCATGGTTTCGGTGGTTTATTAAATTGAATAATAAGAATTACCTAATCACTTTGTTAGTCTTTATAATGTGGTTTGTACCCTGAGACACTTTTCTATTTATTCTTTTATAAAATGAAGAGAGATTTCCAAATTGCATTTTTACCTTGTTTCTGTAAGAGCTTACGTAACTTTCTGATACTCCTTTGCAGTCATTGCAAATGACACAGCAAAAATGTCTTCCATGGCTGTTTTTCATTTTCTGTATCCATCTGCACTACTTGTGTAGTGATTACAAGAGGTAGTACATGAAAAGGCTGGGTTTCTCACAACTTTGTTTTGACAGGTGATGACAAGTGTTGCCAACATCCGAATGTTGCCAATCCAAAACTAACTTAAGACCATCCAGCAGGAGGACCACTGATGGTGACAGGTGGAAACTATTGCATAAGAGAATGACTGTTCTTTCTCTGACTGCTGCTAGTGGGATGCCAGGCTAGGCAAAACCATTGCAGTATGGTTTCATCAGCAGAGAATTCTCCAGCCTTATGTCTTCATATTTAGATCTGATATCTAGAACCCACAAAATGTATACCATGTCTCCATATAAAAGAGGTTTTTTAGTCTGTTTCTCTTTTTATGATTAATTCTGTATGCTTTGCCAATATCTGGGTGTAGAGAATATAATCCTTCTTACTGACTTAGAGTTTGGGTCTCTTTGTTTTTGTTCTTTTTACTTTTCTTTGGTAATTTTCTGTCTTCCTGGGATCCAGTCGGTTCTCATGAAACTTCAATAGTTATGATACAAGTTTCTTAATAAATAGTGGCCGAACATAGGCTCTTTGTAGTTCTTGGAGAGAAGAGAGAGACGATGTGTCGTCTATCAGTTTCTCTTAAAATGGTTTCAATCTTAAACTGTTTCAGTCTGAATAGAAGCATTTTTTTCCTAACTATAAATGATCTGTGTTTCAATATGCTCTCTGATCATAAAGCTGATGAAATGGTCCTCTCTGTGTGGCAGATTACATCAGCTGAATTTACAAATGGAAGATGATGATTTTGCTAATGTCCATGGGCAGGTAGAAAGAATTAGGTCCCAGATGCTCTAACTAATGTTCATGGCAAAAGCAACTAAAAAACAATGCCTCCATATGCTGTAATTGTTGGAATTATTTCTCAGGCATATTCCCTTGTCTTCCCTCATATGTAGAACTCATTAGATTCCTAGTGGGAGAACATATGGAGAGGAGAGATGATGGAAAGCATTGTAAAACAGATTGTGTATTTAAATTTATATTATAAAAGACCTCTGTGCACAGGCAAACTTAGTGGAGAAAGTTCAAACTCTTTCTTTCCACTTCATAAGGAAATCTACATTTATCTCAGTTATCTCAGTGCAGTCAAAGAGACAGATGATGAGTAAAAGCCTGGCTTTAGGGGTGCTAGTGGAAACTTTGCAGCTAATTTGAAATCAACTCTGTATTTCCTACATTATTTTTCCAAAATTTAGCTAAACTATAGCTGTGTAAGATCTTCTCACTAATAGACATGACAGAAGTCAAAGTTCCACTCATACAAACCTGTTGGCATGATCAGGCCTTTGGTTGTGGGTTTGTGATTTCAGTGTCAACATGATGTTTATGAATACCTTGCTTGTGTTTCACAAAAAGAAGTGATAAAGTTTCTTGAATGCAGTTCAGCTGACTGATGGATGTGGATCATAGAGCTCTTTTAATGACTGCTGAATATTAAGAATTGATTCTTTATCATTTCTTATAGTTAAGTAAAGCACAAAATATTGTATGCTGACATTCATGATGTCTTTTTAATTACACTTATGACTCTTGCCTGTTTTATGGTAAGTTTTTTCTCATTTTTTCTTCAACACTGACCGTGAAGCTGGTTTCAATGGAGAGCGTTTGGTGTAGTATAAGGAGTCCCAGTGGAAGAGGTGGGCACTAGCAGAAGTTACACAGTGGACAGATGAGAGGTGGGTAGACTGATGCCTGGTAACACCATGACTTTACTGCAGTGGCTGCTGAAATATGGCCTGTCAGCTAGAGAAACACCTCTGCAGATATCAGTGTTGCCCAGCTCCCAAAGAAACAATTCTGATAGGTTACCTTTTATTGCATGCAATTGAATTAAATGTCATACCTAAATGAACATTGGAAGGGCACAGACAAACAGTGTGGACATCTATTAGAACGTGGCTCTCCAGGCCTTAAATTGTCATATATGTCCACAGGATGTTTCCACCTAGGCTGCCTTTCTAAGAGGAGACACAAAATGGCTGCTTAAGTAGCAATTGTAGTAGACTTGTGTGTATTTGCCTGCAAATATCCCTGTCTAGAGCCAGCATGTAGCGTCCTGTCTAGAGAGAGCACCTCTAGAAATTCAGATCCAACCCTCCTCCATTAGCATTGAAGCTGGACTCTTGTTACCATACTGCTCATCTAAGATAGAGTTGCACAGTATGCTGCTGGCAAGCCGACCACTTGCACGGCACCTTTCAGGGCAGAAGAGTTGCTCTGACAAGCCTCAACAGGAAGCAAAACATGCATTTCTGTGCGTGCTTTTGTCTTAATTAGACGACCCTGATTGTTCTATGTTTTTTTTCTGACAGCTAAAGGATAAACATTTATTATTAGGTGAAATTTTAAAATTTACTATTTTACACCAGTCTGAGCAATGCACTTTAAAGACATATTTTGCAGCTTCTTATGTGTTTGTCCTGTTACAATTTATTCATTTGTGCTATATGTGTATTAGCCTGTCTGTCAGCTGCTGGTGGCACCTTTAAAAACAGTGTCACTGGTTAGTGACTTTGTAGTCACTGCAGGAAAATGCTCTTTTGGTTATAAGTCTTTCATTAGCATGGTGTAGTGTTTCCATTCTGTCAGTACCAGCATTAGAAACTAGATGATAAAGTAGTAAAAGAGCTTTGAAGTTGTACGGATTTAATTACTCAGGCAAAGAATTAGACCTTGCTCAGTGAAGGAATTTATAGCTTCTGTGTGTAAGATTGTTTTCCAGCATTCAGAATTTCCAGCCCTCTGCTTTGATTCAAATTTGATTATTCAGAAATTTGTGCAGTAGTAATATTAATATAAAAGATTAATAGCTACTCAAAAGATGGATCCTTAAGTATCGAGGTATGCAATGCAATATCTGGGATATCTCAAATTCTGAGCTTTAACTAATATTCCTAATGGATAAGGAAAGTAGCAAGTATTTTTCCTATTTTTATGCCTTTGGAAGGAAATACAGATATGGCAGAAGACTGGGAGCTAAAGTGCTCACTGGACTTCTGTTAATGATGTGTTTATTGCCCAAGTCTGTATAGCTTACCTCACATTCTGTTAAAGCATGTAACATAAGGACCTCAAACCAATCAATTTCTGCAATTAGCAGTTCTGAAAGGAAACACAGAAGGAAGTTCAAGGCAGTTTGTACCCGGGTTAGTTCCACTGTCTTTAGTGAAGTTGTTCCCCAGGTAAATCTGG